TGCCCTTCAAGGCTTTTTAATGGCTATTATATTTTAAAAATTGTGAAAATATGTAAAAATGATCGGAGCATAAAATAGTTGAAAAGCAATATTTTTGACATTCCAAAAATTCCAAATCACTTCTAAATAAAAACTAAAAGTGGATTGGTGCCAATAGGTCAAGAATAAGTGATATGTGAAGCACTCCACCTATGTTAGAATCCGTGATCCACGATCGTCTTATCAAACCAACACAATGGAAATCATAGACTATAGTCAATTGCAGGGGTGATTGATCCATTAAAGCTGACCAAGAAATGGTGGAACCACGAACCTAGTGTGTGGACGGTTCCTCCCCCCCCTCCCCCAAATGAGCAAGTCATATCTACGAGGTTGCACACATGCACATATTACTATAATACAAGGGGGAGACTCTTTAATAAGCATGTACACCATTCCCTCTCTATGGTGCTAATTCTTAGGATCCTACTGTGAAGTGTACGTATCGCACAATAGTTGTTGAGGATTTGGCTCTTGCCCGCATAGGCCCGCAACTGTATATGATAAGCATGTACACCATTCCCTCTCTCTGATATCAACAAGGGAAGACCCACTTTAACCCTCATCGGTGCGATAATGCCTATGCCTCGGGGTAAGGGCTTTTGACATGACCCTGGGCCATACACCGGCTAATCTTAAGGTTAGTGATGGAGTGAAGAATTATCTTTATTTTCTATTTTTAGTCAATTTCAAGGGATGTATATTATAGTTTTAATTTTAGAGTTTATTTATGAGGATTTTAGTTTTTAGAAATTCTAGGGCTTTTATAGATTTTTTACTTATTTCATGAGTACTATTCATATTCACGAGAACTGTTCATGGATACTATTCACAGGGGTAAAACTGTCATTATGAAATTTATAGATCAGTTAGGATCTTTTGGTCAAAAGTTAATTGTATAGACAAATATTGTTCAAAGCAATAATTTTTCAATATAAATAAGGGTATGGATGGACTGTAGAGTCATTCATGTATTCCTCTTTAAAAAACGAAAGACTTTGTGTTGTAAAAGACGACTAAGGCTTGAGCCTAGGTGGGAGAAGGCCTTAGGGTTTTTCCAAAATTGTTTGTGTTAAGGTGCTTGTTGCTGATTTTTTTATGTTTCTTGAAGTTCTCTTGCATTATGTGGTATCTGAGCCTACGATGTACATGGAAATTACTGTAGCAAGTATGGAAGGTACTGCAGCATGTATGGAGTTACTGTAGCACCACGTTTTTTGGTGCCCTAGGTCAACAACAAACAGGAGAAGTTATAGTGGGATTTAGAGTTTGCTGATTTTAGCCAAAGTTTTACCATAACAACCTAGATCTTGCTGATTTCAGCAATATTAGTTGATTATTTGCTTAAGGTTTGTGATTTCGACGAACTTAGGGTAGCGAGAAGGGCCGTAGAAGGGGGCTGTCGTAGATCTACTCTGTGATCCCAGAGTTGATAGACTTGAGGAACTTGAAAGGCAAGTACAGCAGCTTGCGCAGCAGTTCCCGAGCCTCAATAATGGGCAAGACGGTGATTTTTCAGCCCAAGAGGATCTCAAGTACATGCCTTTTCATTTTTGCGCTCTGTGTGGGGAGTCAAGTGATGATGCTATATAAGGCCTAGACGTGGGGACCATCACTCCAATTTGATTTGGTGGGTGGGATTCTTGATTTTGTCACTGATCGTATCGATAATCAGCAGGATGTAGATTGAGATTTTCCACCAATCTTTGACGCATACTTAGATGGAGAACAAGGTTTCTTAGGAGATCTGATCTATGATAAGCATTAAGATGATGATAAAGAGATTTCGAAAGAAGGTGAAGAATATGGAGAGAAAGCAACGAGAGAACTGATCCAAATCATGGCCTTTGAAGATCTCATTAGTATTGAAGAGGTGGAACATTCAAGAGATTTAGGGCATTGGAATCAAAGTAGTGAAGTGACAGCAAGGTCGATTCACAATCTATAAATTGTGGTCATAATTCCTCAATATACATATCAGAATCGGTTGCTTGAGGAATTATTTTTACCACGAATAATCTTTTAGCCATCAAAGAAAAAGGTTGAAGAAGGTGGTTTTGATGCTAATTTCATCTTAACACACTTCAAAACTCGAGGATGAGTTTTCTCCAACCAGGGGAGAATGATGGAGGGAAAACATTATCTTTATTTTATGTTTTTATTCAATTTCGTGGGGTGTATATTGTAGTTTAGTTTTATGGTTTATTTCTAGGTTTTTAGTTTTTAGAAATTCGAGGGCTTTTATAGATTTTTTATTAATTTTATGAGTACTATTCACAAGTGCTATTCATGAGTACAGTTCATGGGTACTATTCACAGGGATAAAATTGTCATTACGAAATTTATACTTAAGCTATGACCTTTTGGTCAAAAGTTAATTGTATGGCCAAATAATGTCCAAAACAATAATTTTCCAATATAAATAAGGGTAGGGATGGGCTGGAAAGTCATTCATGTATTCTTCTTTAAGAAAAGTACGACTTTGTGTTGTAAAAGAAGCCTAAGGGTTGAGCACTAGGTGGGAGAAAGCCTTAGTGTTTCTCCAAAATTGCTTATGTTAAGGTGCTTCTTGTTGATTTTTCTATGTTTCTTCGAGTCCTCCTGCATCAGTTAGTCAACCAACATCCCACTGGAGCGTGAACATCCGCTATAAAGTATTTATTTTTAAATGCTCCCAAGGCCTTTAAAGGCTACTAACGCCAACATTAACATGACATCTGACATCCACAAATCAGTATCTCATATTTTAGGGCAAACTTGTTAGTCTTTGGTTATGAGTTCTCTCTCCTTGACTATTGGATACTTTAAAAGGGATTTAACACCTTGCAATATGCCTTTGCAATGTTCTTGGTACTTTTGGATGAGCAGATCAATGATCATCTGCTTGAACTCTTTGGTAAGTTGCGTGGGTACTGCAAAGAGATTTATGATGGACAATACAAGCTCACAATGTTATTGTTTATAGATTATGAACAAAATTAGGATTGCATGTGTACAAAAAGAGTAAAGGATGACTTAAAGACACTCCCAATCTACTAGTGACTGCTTTTCCTAAAACGAGTGAAAGAAAATAACTTTGAACATGCACATCTAGATATTTGGTTACAAGCAGAAAACTTAAATTGTATAATAAATTAAACAATATATTCGGCATAATCGGATCTGTGGGACAGGTTCGACTGTTTATTAAATATGTATTGTTCCCCATCGTTTTGTTTAGTACAATGTTTTTAACTCATGGATTTGCTGAGGATTCCTCCAAGACTAATTGGCCGGGCACCTGGGTAAGTGTTGTGGTGTATCATGAGACTCACCCAAGTCACGACTTTTCCTGTTATTATCTATAGATTTGGCTGGGTCTTATAGAGACTCGGTCGAGTTGATTCATTATGACTCAATTAGGGAGCATGGCTAGTTCTGAGCCAAGTCAAAACTTTGAAAAATTGGTTTTATATAGTTCTAATGTTTATGCTGCTTTGGTTTTCTTAAAGAAATCTGTAGTCATAGTCAAAGTTATCATGTATGCCAGATTTGCAACATTCTTATGTATTAATCAACATTACTCTTTCCTCTTTTGACTATTTCTGAACTCAAGGTTTTTATTTATTGAAAATCATGTGGTTCTAGAAACATATATGCATTTTTTGCATCTAGCGATCAGAGCAGTTTTGATACTTTAATCAACATTTCTATTGCGTTAATTTGTTGGCTCTAGAAATGGTGTGCACAGAGGCATTCGGTTGTAGTTTCTTCACAATCATGCCCTACCCAATTGATAGCTTAATAATGCCCTAGGTGTCTCCATTTCATGAAGTGAAGAACAGGCTGGGGGCCTTTGACTGAGGCAATCTCAACATTAGTTGCTGGGATCTCTGACATGGGTAGCGATTCTGCCCTCAGAGCGTGATATTGCACTCCCTCAGTGAGATCGTGGTCCATCTGTGACCTCATGTTGGGGGACCGCAATCGCCATTAGATTTTTCGTTGTACTAGAAACTATAAAAGGCTAGCTTCTTTGTCTGCCTGGCATTGTGAAATGTGGTCTCTGACTGAGGAAATCTTAACATTAGTTACTGGGCTCTCTGACATGGGTAGCGATTCTGCCCTGAGAATGTGGTGATTTTGCACTCCTGCAGTGAGATCATGGTCCAGTGGCGATCTCATGTTGGGGGACCGCAATCCCCACTAGATTTTTCATTGTGCTAGAAATTATAAATGGGCAAATGGCTAGCTTCTTTGTCTGCCTGGCATTGTGAAATGTGATGTTTCTATATGTCCCTTTGCTTGTGCTCCTCATACAAAGCATGTGATAATTTGATTTGCGAATTAACTAGGATGATGTATATTTAACATATGAGTTCAATATTTTGGTTACGGTTATGTATTACAAATCTATTGGTGACTAGTGTCCATTTTAGTGTATTAGTAATCTATGTATATTGCGTCTTCGACACTCTTTCTGCTTCAAATTGCTTCATTCAATATTTAGTTGTACCTTCCAGAGCTCTGCTTATGGCCTGGGTAAGGGGTACGCCCTAAAGGACATGGAGTAAGGGGTTGGCCCAAAAGAATATAGTTGGAAGTAGTAAAAAAAGATATGGCGACTTATTGCCTCATTGAGGGTATGACCCTTGATAGAGTAGAATGACGGACTATGATTCGTGTAGCCGACCCCAAGTAGTTGGGAAAAGGCTTTGATGATGGTGACGGTGATGACCTTTCAGAGCTCTCCTTGCAAAAGGATCTAAAAATTTTGAAGTTATGAACAAAGTTATATTTGTTCCTTTTGCTATTATGTCTCAATTTTCCATTGATACATCTAACCTTTGTGATATTAGCTGCTGCCATTTGTCAAGGTTTACTGTAATTGCTATTATGTAGTTTCTATTTTTGTTCTCAAGGGATTTGAGCTGGGTAGAGAATTAGTATTAACACTAAGTGAATTTACATGCCACGTTCAGTTTGAAGAACAAGGAGAGTTAATTGAGCTCAGAAAGCAGGTCAAAGAACTATATGGGCATCATGAATATGCAACAAGTGAACTTCAATCCTTACAAAGAGAAAATGAGGAGCTGTCTAATGGAAAGGTATGGATGTACGATATTCAGTTTTAGAGCGTGCTTATTGGTGTCAAATAAATGGAACTTCATAATTTGAGAGAAATATTGTGTCGAATAATGTATTGAAATCTTCTCCTTGCTTTTGATAATGGATTTTATCTTTACGTGGTTCGGTTCCTTTTGTGGGTGAAGTTGAAACTGATTGAAGAACTCAATACCTTGCGGCAAAAATTGAAAGATGAAGAGATTGAAAGGAAAAAGGTGGAAGTTGAGTTCCTTAAAATAAAGCGCGTCTCAGATACAAACATTGACCTTCTTGAGGTACTTGCATTATTGTGATCTGACTTCTGAAATAAGTCGAACTTCTTTTCAAGAATAAGGCCGAAATATAGGCACTTGCATCAGAAGATTGCTCATCCATTACTATACTTGAACTCTTCTACAATGTCTCACACTATTGATGGAGAAAGTGATGAAACTTCAATCGTATTGTTTGTGCCCATGAATATTTTAGACTTTATCTGCAACAGCTTGTGCTATTGCATGTAATAAACCATTGCCTGATTTCTTTGTAGTAATAGTTGATTTAGATTTTTGTATATTGGCTATTGACTGGCTCAGAAAACCCAAATCCCGGAGAAATTAGATAGAGTGGCATTAGGTGAAGATAAATCCTTAAGTTTTCTGATGTCAAATCAAGTGAAGGGAAGTATGTCTGGCCAAAGGACTACTATTTCTAAAATATTTGAAGAAGGTACTGCTCTTCTCCTTTTCCCTTATAAAGATGCATGTTTGTATCAATTGAATTTGCAGACTCATATAAGTAACTTTGGCATTAAGTTTTATGTCACCACTACATGCAGTTGGTCTACCAAACGTGTTGGCTCTGTTGAAATCAGAAGAACTGGATGTACAAATTCATGCTGTTAAAGTCGTTGCTAATCTTGCCGCTGAAGGTATCTTCAAAGAAGAGACTTGGTGCTTTGTTTTTTGCAAAGTCTGTATCTGTTATTAATTCTCTTTTTATGTACATTCTAAGTTAGATTTTCAGTTGACATTTGCTTCCTTGGTGAAGTGATGGATAACGATGCGAACACACTCTATATATGTAGAACCTGACATATCTGACAGTGATGTTGAAACCTAAACATATCACACTGACATTGACTGTAATTAAGAAATTGATATCACAAGGCACACTTATTGATGTAGACCACTATCATGATAGAGTTTATATTGAACTTTGCATGTCTTGAGAGTATATGGTTGAAGCCTAGACAGAGGTAAATTGAAAAAAATTTAGAGGTAACCAGGTTACATCCATACACCCTAAAGAATAGAACTATAAGGATCTAGCTGTTCCTTTTGTAGTAAGGCCCACTCAGTTAGTACAAGGACCCAAATAAAGAGCAAGATCATATGCACTTGCAATTAAAAGTATTTTTTATGCATGCTTAGTGTTTTTATTTCATGGAAGTTATTTAACACATGCTTACCAACAATTCAATTTATACATATTAAATTATGCAAAGCCATATGTTATTTTTATCATGTGCTTACCAACAATGCAGTTTCTGCATACGAAATTATGCAAAGCCATATGTTATTTTTATTGTTTTGTTTTTTTAGCTTTCAAGCTATCATGTCATGCAAGAATCATATATAGAAAAAAAAAGAAAAAATTTAGCATGAAATAGCTCTAAATAAAACCACTTTCTCGTTATGCACAAGCAAATGAAACATAAAATTCAGCATTTATGATTTCTACAATTGTCGTGCATGTGCATGCATCCTCAACATGCAATCCTTAAAATAAATCATGATCTCATATTACAAAGTTAATCAAAGAGATAAAATCTAGCAACTTAAAGTCTTAAGTAGTGCAGCCCTAATTATCAATTACTGTTGCCGTAGTTATGGTTTTCTAGATAGTATGAATCCTACATGTTTGGATTTTTGTTTTCTTATGTAAGCTCAAAAATTAGAATTAAGGTTTTCTAGGTCTCTGGTTTATGACCAGATCAATCAAATGTCATTGAGATGCAGTTTTACTACTGAATAGAAATATATTTAGAAGCTTGTTGTATCTTCAAATTTGAATATGAAAATAAGTGTTAGTCAACTCGTCTCAAAAAAATATGAAAATAAGTGCTCTAAAAATGGCCGATCAGGATCAGAATCATTCGATCCGGATCGAAATCACTTGATCCGAATGGGGAATCGTCTTAGACAATCCGGTTCCCGTAATATATCGAGAACTGGCCATGCACCTCCTAAAACCAGGTGGTTCAAGCTGTTCTATATAGGTTCTCTTATAATACAAGTCGATTTTATTAGAAAACCAGTACAGAACGGATCCACCTTTCTATTTTTTATATATTTTTAGTTCTTATTTTCTGAAATTGTTTTTGTCTAAAGAAGAGAACTCATGTGGCCCACCCACTTTTCCTTGCTAGGCGTCTTGTACTGTTCTGCTCACTAAACGTGTCACTCTTCCACCCTATTTATAGCCATGTAACCCCCCTTGCGGTTCATACATTTGCGATGTGGGACTAAATGTCCCCTTGGTGTTTTAAAATCTCATAATCAAGTTTCATTATTTGCATCAAGTTTTCATATGGCCTCATTCTTCAAGCGTCTTTTGTTTTTTTTTTTTTAAATTGTCTCATTCTTCAAGCTTTTTTTATGAAAATGTAAGACACGAAACCCAATTCAAAGTAGTATTTTGTAACTTAATAGAAGGATATAAAACACAAACTAAATGACCTTTTTTACCATGTATGAGATGTTAAAAATAGCACAAACCAATGTAGGTTAGCACAATTTTCAAAAAGTCTGAAAAGTCCAAAAATAAAATTAAAAAGATTAATTTATCTAAAATCCCAAAAATAATTGATTTTTTCCTAAAAATCTCAAAAAAATTAAATTTTCAACTCATACTTTGAAAAGGTATGTGATAATTATGGAAGTTAAAGCGAAATATCATTATTGAAATGGAAAACACAAACCAATGTATGTTTAAAATTGTAAAACATAAACATAATAGGCATGGCTCATCAACATTCAACCAATAACACAAGAGAAAGCATTAAAAAGGAAAAATAACAAATAAAAAATTAGTGGAAAAAACAAGGGGATTCACTAGGAACTATTTATATACTACATTATTTTGATTTTATTAAACATGGTGGTTCTTCTACAGAGAGGCCAACAATTGTTGACTGTGAAATGACTGTTAGACATATTTTTAGCATTTAGGAATTTTTGGTGAAGTAATGAAAAACCATAATGCAACACCTCCATTTTTTCTGGAAGTATAAAAAATTACATTTTAAGAAATTTTAGTGATTTTTTTGAAAATCTTTAAGGCCAATCTGGCTGAATCTTCAATGTGGATCACCGATCCGCCGATCCGACTCGATTTTTGGGATGGCCGATTGGAATCGCCGATCTGTTTTTTAAAACCTTGATGAAAATAGAAGAGAATTATGACTGAAAGGGAAATGCTTCAACAGATTACTAACCTCTCTTTTGACTTTTTTATTATCTTCTAATTATTTAATTTCTATTCAAATTTATAGATGTTGAAATAACTGTATTTTACCATTCATACAACATTAATGACGAAAAGCCATCCAAAGATTTGGCAGAGGCACCTAGGGCTGGTATCAGTGCACCTTACTATTTATATTAAGTCCATACTAATTACGATTGTCATTTCTATAAAGAGAAACCAACAAGCAAAATACTTCAGATTGTGTAAGTAAATTGACGATATTCAACATCTTATTATGACAAATGATGAGCTCATGCTTTGGAGAGCTAGGTTTTGGGCGTCACACTTCAATCCATAAAGGACGGAACCTAGGATTTAGTCCACCTCCTCTCTCCTCTCGTTGATGGCTCCAACTCACGTTAGCATTGTGAGATGTTGAGACCTATTTCCTTATTTGTAATAAGTCGCAAAGACATCTACACAAGTTCCCCTTTCCTTCTGGGAAAATACATTTACGTGGAAGTAAGTGTCACCTACCTAGAAATTAGTGTATTTGTCAAACCTCTTGAATCTCATAATCAAGATCCATCATCAGTCTCAAGATCTTGGCAGACTCAATATCTGCTGCCCTGTTAAGTTGCCACTGTGATCCCACCTTTTTACGTTGACTTTGGCATTGACAATCTTACAAATGACAAGGGATGGTCCTCAACTCACTCGTCCACGTATATGTGCAAAGTGCTTCTCACAGTTTCGTTCAGTCTTGAACATGATTTGCAGGAATTCCTAATTGACTCGGTAAAACACCAATCCCGGTTGCACCTTTAAATCCTTTTTATTTTTATTTTTATTATTTATTTATTTTTTTATTTCTCTGTCACCCCCAAGAAGCTCGAAAACAGCCAAATACTGGAAATGCCCATGTGAGAGAAATCATAAAATCCCAGAAATATAATAATCAAATAGAATGAAATTTAACAAATCCAGAGTATTTTGATACTGGAGTGAGATTACTAAAATTTCTATTTGTATTAAGAATTTTTTTTTTAAAAACATTTTGGATTTCTAGCATGGTTATAATTGACTCTAGGTCTCTAGCTCCTCTGGAAAACCATTTTAATGACTCGGGGGCTTGGATGGACCAATGTGCATGTTCTTTTACATTGTAAAAATATATGACACAGCTATTTTCTTCTAGTGCACAATCTCCATCCAAACTGGTGGCACTATGTCCAATCCAGTCTTAGTGTGACGTCTTAGCAATGTACACTCACTATTACGAAACTCCCGCATCTGTCATGCTATGCAATCTATGTTCTATTCGCATAGAATCAAAGTAATAGTTTTCCCTTCTAGCTAAACATTCAGCCCTAGAATCCTAAGGTTGTAAAAATTAGCATGTAGCATTGGTTGCTGGGACTGTGCATGCCCAGTACTCAAGCTAGAAGGCATGAGCAGTCACCCAACTCCAGCCCAAGCTTTCACTTGCCCACATTTGTGAGTTGCACATGTCACATTATCGAGTCCCAAAACATGGTGAGGTGTTCATCTAAGCCTCCTAAAGGCATCCTTTTACATGTAGGGTCGATTGTAAAAAATTATCAACCACAACATTGTAGTCTAAGGAAATTATAGAAAACAGGATATATACCGGTTAATTCCTATGGCCCACTCCATTGGATAGTACTTAGTCCAAGGTCAACTGTTCATAACCATGGGAATAAAGAATGCACATCCATAAATGCATGCAATATCCATAGTTAGGATAACAAGACACTTTTATTACATTCGACTTTGAATGGTTCAAAGTTGGGAGTTTTCAGCAGAAAAGAAGAGAGGAAAAAACCTAAGCAAATGGCTTTGAAGGCCACAAACTTCCAACATGACCAAAAAGTTTCAGATGACCTTAAAAGTATAGAAACTTTGGAGATGCAAAGAAAGGGACCTAGGATCATTGTTCTGTAGCCATCTTACCCTGGGTCAGGTAAGATATGTCTTGTGGAGAATCAAATACAATAACTTCAAATACTTGATAAAAGTTCACATTGTTATTTTCATGTTTTAAGATTTTCTTCATATGCTAATATCTTAATATATTCTTCATATGCTAAAATCTCTGAGTCTTCAGTATGCATCAGCACTGAACCATTTTATGTGGCAGTAAGATATTAGTTGTAAAATGTCCCACTTGTTCTTTAGAATCTTTTCTTAATTGTGTGTGTATGTATGTTAACTTGAAATGCTTCATAAAAAATCGCATTGTTATTTTCATGTTTCAAGATATTCTTCTTATGCTAAAATCTTAAGGTATTCGTCATGATGCAAATCGCATCCAAGATGTTTATTTTCTTATTTATTTATTTTTTAAAAGACTTGATTTTTAGGAATGTGGGTAAATTTTTGACCTTTATGGGGGATGTGGTTGGGCTTATTTAATTATTTTTATGATTGTTAGGATTTATTTTGAGGGATATTCATATTGAAGTTAAAAAGGGATGCTTATTTAAGATTAATGTAGGAGGCTTTCCTAGTTTCTAGGATTTCATGGTCCTATTTTGATGGGGATTATTAGCTAAGTTAGAAAGAATAGATGGGTAGGGGGATTGGTTACGTGAGGGGCAGAGAGTTCCTAGAAAAGAGGATTTAGGATCGAGAAAATAAGAAAGTTTGGGAAAGGGGGTGATTTACATGATTTAGGGAGAGATATTCATGGGGAGTTACATGAGGAGAGGGAGTGTGTTTAACCCGAGAGAGAGAGAGAGAGAGAGAGAGAGAGAGAGAGAGAGAGAGAGAGAGAGAGAGTAGTAGTAGTAGTAGTTAGTTATTAGTTTATTTTAGTTTTTACGTTTTTAGTTTTGTTTAGTTTAGTTAGTTAGTAAGGTAGGTACGGTACGGTACGTACGTAG